ATCTCTGATGCCCTGAGTTGAAACGCAGCTTTCGAGTCCAGTGCCATTGGCTTAGCCAAGCGCTAGATTAAGCTATGAACTCAGGAAAGATTGTCTGCCATCTGAATATGTCATGTTCATGTATCGAGGCCATGTTGCAAGAACGATCTGAAACATAGGGTCAATTAGCTGATAGTTGACCCTATTGTTTTGGGAATCGTTTTGAATTGTCTGATTCTTTGGGTGCTGCATTCTCCGCTATCCTCTCAAAAGGTTGGAGAGGTTACGGCTACAACACAAAGTAGAATCAGCTGAGTGCAACACTGGCCCCTGCGAAGACATGTACAGCAAAATGCAGGTTTCTGGAACGACAAGTCTTGGTTGTGTCGTGTCACTGACATTGAACGTGGTGTCAGCGTGAACCTCATTTTTAGCTGCTGTCGATTGGCCTATGTTTGGGCTCTGGGTGAGACTCTTCCTTTTGGGAAGAAGAATAAATGAAACTTAAGAAAAGCACTGCAAACATTTGCCATACTTTGCATGGGTCACCGTACTTACATCATCTCATCTGTCTGAGGCTTCCGCATGTGCGTCTCTTCTGATCACGGTGTTGCACTGAATACACATTGTTGCAGCGTCAATGTCAATCTGATCAAGCTCAATTTCAGCAAGATTAACCGTGATCTTTCTCCCGCATGCCAAAGTGTCATGGCCTGGCATCATCCCATGTAACATGCCAGTGTATGAATGTATGAACCATTTGTTAAGTTCAGCGCCTTCTGGGACTGGATCTCTTCCACCTTTTGAAACAGGCCTCATACTGAAAAGTGGCGCGTCCTCGTCGGCATAGTGGTCGTCACTGTCGTCACTCCTAACCAGTTCGACCGGTTGGTCATCCTGTTGTTCAATCAAGTCTGCCTGAGCGTTGGCATCATCTTGAAGCATCGTGCTCAACCTTTGAGCTCGACTCACATCGGGTTGCAGTCTCCCCGTGTCAATCATCTGAATAAGCTTGCTGACCTTGTACTGCAAAAGAATCTGTGAATCCCTGCTGTAGGTCACATTTGATCTAGTCTGAGGTTCAATATGATGTCCTAAAAGTGTACGCTCTTCTCTGCTGAACAAAGTTGTCATGCCGGCCCAAGTCAAAAGAGTGGCCTTGCAGCCATGACTTGAATACTCTGTTGAGCCTCCTTTGAAGGTGTCCTCCAAGAACTCCCTGATCCAACAAGTGCATTCACCTGACGACATCGGGTGATTGGACCAATTTGAACCAACTTCATTCCAAGAAGGTAGAAAAACTGATTGATCGTTCAACCCACTTGCACCACGCGCATCAATGAATGCCAGTCCCCAAGATTGTTCGTCCAGAAAAGACCCAATTGCAGTGTAAGGCAGCAGACGCGTCTTGGATTCCTTGCTCATGGACGTCTTGTGCAAAGCTGTTGCAGCTTCCAAAATAACTATGTTGCCATGTGTATCTGCAGAGAGCTCTTCAATTCTCATTGCGTCAAACCATCTGACGCAAGCAAATATGCAAAACAGCAGTGCCCCAGCAATCACACGCTTGTGCATGTCCGCGGAGTAAATGCAGATCTGTTCAAAGGTTTGCACTGCTTTGACCGGTAAGGCTGGAGCCTGTGTCAACTTCCGCTTCTTCAGAAACATGCTATGAGATGCTCCCGTCACTCGAGGTGAAAGCACTGATGCAATGTCCATCTTCTGAAGCTTGAACATCTGATTGCAGAACCGCAATGACTCCACAAAATGAGATGCTGAGGTTGCGGCCGAACCTGTATCGCGCAAGTAGTTCATGTAATCATAAAGCACTTGTTCAGTCTGATTAAAACATGTTCCCATCTGACCAGCTTCTAGCCAACATGCAAATCTCCACATCGAAGAAGCCCTCTTTAAAAGGGTCCCGGTTGCCTTGTTTGACATGGCATCCTGAAGTACTTGCAGAGGGTCGACTGAAGGGTCAATGGTTCCAAGCACATTAGTTATCGACTGTCCCAGCTGAGTTGCATCCAAGTCTAGTGAAATCAGAACTTTAAACTGGTTCAGCGCTTTGGTTCTGAGCTCATCTTCAGCCACATGGATGCGACACTTTGCAATGCGTCTGTTGATTGCAGGAAAAGAAGAAACAGGCAGCTTTGGTGCAATGACTTGAATCTTAGGTGCAGGAACCAAAACGTCTCTTAGTCCTACTCGACAAGGTTTCACTGAGGTTGCCGCTTCACCTGAAATCTTCTTGGTAAACAGTGGAGAGAGCGGTCCTTTCTCCCAAGGCATTTTGATGTCCCTGCTTCTCAGTAAACAAAACGCAGTTGAAATACCCAGTTGCTCAACATGTGATGAAATTGCAGGTACTGAACTGTCCGAGGCTGAATCTTGAACTTCAACTGGATCAGGCTGCACAGGTTCCGATGGGCTAGGAGCTAAAGAAGGCGAATACTCACATGCAGTTTCATGCGTTTCCAGTGACCCAAACAAATCAAAACCAGTAAGCTCCAACGACTGAGGTTCGACTTGGTCACCGCTTGCATGCTCTGTAGCTGCAGGCTGTGAGTCACCATCAGCGCTCCCAGATGCCCATCGCTTGCGAAACCCGCGGAGGCCCGCTGGAGGATCCATTAAAGTGTCAAGAAAACCGATGAAAACAGGTGTCATTGGAAATTCGCGCAGTTCCCCTGGAAATTCGGCAGTTCCCCGGGAAGCTGCGCGAATTCGGAAACAGAAAGTGACCCCCGAACAGCTAAACTGAATGTGTTGTCTGCAATTTCAGTTTTTCGCCCGCCACTACCCAACCCTTAGATGAGAAAATGGCGACAGTGAAACATAGAATGGGAAAGTGTTCTTTTCAAACACAAGTTGAGAGTGAAACGTGTTTCTGAAGTTTCCGGTATGTATGGTATTTGCAAGGTTTACCACAGAGAGAAGTTTAGATGTTTAAACTTCCAAGTTACCGGAGTGAAACTGTTTTGCGGTGGAACTACGCTTCATTTCATTGCGCTGAATTATAAAGACAGGGCTGTCATTTCATGAAAGCCTTCGTCTTGCCCAGCACCATTCGTAGCCCGAAGTTGGACAGGTGTGTACGATGCGGAAGTGCACACTGCATGTCATCACATCTCATTGACCCCCAAACCATGACCAAAACAACCCAAGCCACAGCACGTGAAAATAATGGCCGTGCATCATCCACCACATGCAATTCCAAAGAAATAAGCATTGCCACAGTATACATCTCTGCTGGCTTCGTGGGCTCCGACTCAGCCGCTAGCTCTGCACCCCATGCCTTCACGTGTGACTTCCAAAGCTCCTCCGATGAGAGCCTCTCACCTTCCGGCACACGACCCAACTGTTCAATCAAAGTAAGTGAAACATGAAAACACTCTGGCACAGTCTTGCCGCATCCCTCATCAACCCTGTGCTGAACATAGTCGATGATGTCTTTGACATTGATGGGAAATTTCCTACCAGAATGCAACTCCAGCCAAACTGCAAATGGACGCCATGCTTTATATCTGTTCTTCAATGTGTTGCAACGACGAGTGCCAAACAGGTGCAGCCATCCTTGACGAGTATCATCAAGCGTCTGTATCAATGCAGCAACTGGCAAGTTAGCATCAATGATGACCTGCGCTAACAACATGCTATATTTCTGTCTTTCTGCATCCATCCTCTTTGACCTATTCTCAGCCTCGAGCTTGAGAACCCGCTGTCGTCTCTTCGAATGCGCTGCAACTAAAGACAGCATGTCAGTCTGTGTGATGTGTTTGAACGCATCTTGAACCGAACCACAAGAATCAACATGTGAAAAATACATGGCAGTCTCAACAGCTCCACGTCTGGCACGTTTAAAGCTCCGTGCGTTGTCCTCCCTCCAAACCACCAGGTCAGCTGCGACGTTGGCAACTTCTTCAGGTACCATGTCAGGACAACATGACTGTAACAACGCCCTAGCATCCATGTCAGTGTCAAAAGATGCTTCCAACTGCAAAGGTGTCTTAAACATCCTCTGTAAAATGACAACAACGTCACCAGTGATACTGGGCCACGACAAATCCATGGCCTGACGCTAGGACACCGTCCAACCGTGTTGGATGCACCGCGCCCCAACCTACCTGAAAATGAGCCATAGCTCTTCGAGTCATATCCATGTATTGCCGACTGTATGAACACAGCAATTGAAGGAAACTCTTTCGCAAGAAGTTGAGTTGAAACCATTGTGAATTCACATCTGAAACCAAACATCCAGAACAGTAACGACCCACATCAGTTGAACACAGGTTAAAAGACGAAGTCCACCAAAAATAACTTCCAGTCACCAAAAAGCATCTGTTGAAATAACCCAAGCAAACTGCAAACTTCCAAAGTTGCACTGTTTCAAACTGTTGACAAATTTGACTCATGAAAACGGCCAGCAAGTGAATGTCCCCCAACTGTACCATCGACCAAAGCGGTCTCCAATCCAGTCCCCACGATCGCACGTAAAGGTCACCAAGCGTCAACCCACCCGCCCGCCCAACACACAGCACCGTATAGACTCACGGGCGCGCCCTATGAAGCTTCGTGCAAAAACATTTTGATGCCGGCCCAGCAGCCGAACGCAAACATTCCGCTACCGGTCCATTAAGCAAAACAAAAGGTTCTGTTACCGGCTCAGTAAACAAAACAAAACAACATTAAGAACCATGATTTTTATCTCTTTGGAATCAGCAGATCCTTCCACTGGTAACGTATGCTTTTTCAGGTTTGGAACCATGAGTTTCAAGCTTTGGGAACCCGCAGTTCCTTACAATGATAGTTGCTTAGCTTCGAAAACATAAATTCTAACTTCTGGGAACCGGCAATTGCTTGCAATGGTAACCTCTGGTTCCCAGGTTGGGAACCCTAAGTTTCAAGGTCTGGGAACCGGCAGTTCCTTGCCATGGTAACCTTTGGTTCCCACGTTGGGAACCATCAGTTCCAACCTTTTCTATCTGGGGTCTATGCCGGTGTAATCTTTTAACCCTTCTTTAACGATAAAGTATCATCACCTTCGGTGAAATATCACGAAGTGGGAATTTGGTGGTCGCACCTAGCAGGAGGGCTTGCGCGGCGTGAGTCAACGGCAAAGTCATCCGCGGATGTTTCCAAAAGAAATCAATCGCACGCAGCAATGCGGCGTGGAACTGTGGCAAGGGATTTTTCTGGCGCCACCGAGCAGAGATGCGCCACTCTGTGCGGATGACGCTGCCGTCGGAAACTGGGAAGCGCACACGGCTGAGCACCCCGTCAGGGAGCTGCACAGGGTAGCCGTCCGTGCTGCCAACGTAGCCAGCCCGAGGGCTGTCTGGTTCGTCTGCTGCCAAAAAAGCCTCCGGCTGACCCAGGTAGGAGCCCCAACCAAAGATCAACGCCTGCTGTGGGGTGAGCGGCAGCCACGTCCACGCGTCATCCCCAGAGGCAAAGTCGGAAGGCAACCTTATGAACTACGTGGACACGCAATGTCATGGCTGCTGACTTTCACAACCTCAAATTTGAAACCTAAATGCAGCTCAGCCGCGGAGCATGGCGGGGTGTAGACCGGTCAACACAGAAAAGGAATCGTTCCTTGCATGCAGCCACATGACTTCCTTGCTGCTGGCGTTCAAGAGCAATGGCCTTTGCAGGATGCAAGTTGCCGCAGACACTGAGGTTGACAGGTGGTAGCCGACTTGTCGTGGAAGACGTGCTGGTTCGAGTACCCCGTTTGTGGGAGCCCGACTGGATCAACCTGTTGAGCGAAGATGCATTGAGACTTGTGGTTTTGCCACCCTCACCTTTCTGGGTGTTACCAAGCAGCCCCAAGCCCTCGAGAAACTCGTACGCTTCATCCAAACAGAAGCCAGAACTCAGCCATATACGGTGAGGCAGCCCTGAACGGTCATCTCCTGAGCAGGGCGCGGCGATGATGTACAGTTTGTTGTTAGTGTTTGAACCCTGTCCGTAAGATGAAGTTGACAAGAAGATATTGCTTGCCCCAACCCTTGTTGCACCGCTAACCATGCGCCCTGCCTGCACCCCAATCAACTTGCGCCCAATCACTGCTGCACCGGTGAAAAAATTCTGTGAAGGTGAAACTCTGAAGGGACAAACTTTTGACGGTGGGCTGTTGTCGTGGCTGATCTTGGAACTTTTCTGCTGCCATCTCCTTGGCCCTTTCCAACAAGTAATCATCGCACGTATCGAAAGCCTGGAGTTGACAGGGATGAACCAAAAAGGAGTAGCAGAGTAGCACAAAAAGCGCAGTAACAAGTTCTATTTTGACCGCCCAGCCTCCTCCACCAATGCAGTCAACCGGCTCTTGCCTTTTTGGGCCGCCGCAACTTGCAGCACAACCACCATCAGAGGCGTAGGGCGCCCTGGCCAGAGCTGTATGGTTGCGCCGTTGCAAAGAGCTGGAAGCGCACCTAAGATTTGAATGAGAGTGGTGAAGAAACCTTGGCCAGTGGCGATGGTCAGTGGCTCAAGAAATTGAAACATTGAAGCAGGGAGATGCTCTTGTGGATTCCACCCATCATCGACAGCTGATTGAGCGCGATCCATGAGACCCGCAACCTGTCTTTCTGACAGTTCATCGTCGCTGGTCTTCGGCATGGAACGATAGCAGATCAAATGTCCAAGCTATACGGAAACTCAGAAATGAATGTGCTGCGGCAGGTCACACACTGCAGGTCTTGCGTACTTGGGCAGAGTTGTATAGAGCAACAGCAAACAGCGAATGCGCACACATCATATTTGAAGGCTCTATAGAAGGTTCTGCATCTTGAGGGCCAAACCGATGCAGTAGGAGGTCGTGCCGTCGCTGCTCACATTAGCACAAGCATATGCCTGGAACTCTAAGTTTTCGGATTCAATGCGGAAAGGTGGCTGCTGCTTCAAGCAAAGGTGTACACATAAGGTTGACACAGGATATGACAAAGCGGAGGTGAACAAAGTGGCAATATGTCGCGCTGTGAACATAGTATCGCTTCACAATGTAAGTGGCGCAGTGCCTGTGTAAGTTCCTGCCTCGGATTTGGAAAAGCAAGGTCGTTTGAGATATGAGAAAGGTCGGCAGGACCCATCGCCGCATACAGTTAGAAACGACTTTCCCGTACGTGGGCAAATTTACATCTCATGTCACACGTCTAGACGCAACACTGAAATAAGCCAACTCCTTGCCTTGCAGCAAGTCATTAGACATTCCTGCCCTGCAACAAGAGCAATCTGCGGCATATAGGCGGGCTGCATGTAGGCGAGCGCTTGAGACAAATGTTGTGTTTCTGTTGTTGTCGTTGTTGTTGTTGCTGTTGTAGCTGCTGTTGTTGTTGTTGTTGCTGTTGATGTTGATGCTGCTGTTGCTGTTGTAGAATCACCACTTGTTTGGGGATACTACACACACCGCTTTCATGTGGCTTCAAACTTTGGTGAGGCTCCAGCTTGATCCTCTTGAAGGCTGAAGCCGTCGCAGGCGCCGCACATGGTCCAACCTGAGCACAAGCAGAGACGCAGAAGAAATGAAAAAGATATAGTTAACCAAGGAAATGAAAGGAACATTGGCAGTATGGAGCATGTAGGCCCCAACATGTGTTGGCTGGACGGTTAAGAAGCCAGAAGAAAGAAACATCGGACTGATGACTGATCTACATACCTTCAACTTCGTAACTTACACAACCCAGCACGAAGCAACGGTGCTGTTTCACCTCAGATCCCGTTTGCGCTTGCATCGCTCGCTGCCTTCCTCTTGCTTGCGGCGGTCCTGTCAATGCTGCGCGGGAAGTGAAGAGAGCGCGAATCAATTCATGCAGAATGGTTTGCAAAACATGGCGCATGCAATCTTAGGAATTGGAATATGGAAAAGGCCATACTATGCAACCCATGTGCTTGACTAGTCTGAGTGACGCCTTGAGAGAGTTGTGAATGTCAACGAATCACGTTTGCGCTTGCGTCGCTCTCTGCCTTCCTCTTGCTTGCGGCGGTCCTGTCAATGCTGCGCGGGAAGTGAAGAGAGTGCGAATCAATGCATGCAGAATGGTTTGCAAAACACGGCGCATGCAATCTTAGGACTTGGAATATGGAAAAGGCCATACTATGCAACCCATGTGCTTGACTAGTCGAGTGACGCCTTGAGAGCCAGCAGCACCTTCAAGTTGTGAATGTCTACGAGCTCTGCAACCATGAGCTTCGCCATCCAAGGAGCCATGTGATGGATAGTGTGCTTGAGCGGGGAAAAGGATGCATTGACCACCTCGGCGATGGACGTGGGGAAACCATCGAGTATGATTTTGTTGCCTGGAAGGGTCGGCATGAGATTCGCGCGACACCATGCGCCAACGTGGCCAGATGCATGGAAGGAATCCACGATGAAGTTGAGGTGAGAGGCCTTCTTTGCGAGAACGGATCCCTGTTTCTGCGACTGCGCCATGAAATGTAAATAGCAAGAATCATCATGGACTACCGTCTTCAAGTCTTGATAATTTTGAAGCAGATGGAGGAGAAACGCGTAGCGTTGAGACAAGCTCTCGGCGCCGATGAGCTCCTCCACATGCACCACCAATCCACTGCTTGAGATGGCAAAGAGGAAGCCAGCCGTTCTCGCTGCAGCAGCAACATCTGCATCAGCCTCTTTGTGGGTTGCACACTCGGAAGATTGCCGGGGCCTGACCGAGCTCCACGACAAGAAGCTTCTCGTTCTTTGCGGCTGAGCAGAGATGACCCTTTGTCCCCTGTGCGTCTGCGCCCGAAGACGATGCAGCGTGATGCGTTCGTGAGCCTTGCGTCCAAAATACTGCGTGAGTTGCTCCTGGGGCACAGTGCAAAAGGGCTGCCAACCCCTGTAGCCTTGCATCTTGACCTCCAAGAACTGCACGTCATCTGGTGAATGGAGGGCACGCAGGAGCCGATGTGCTGCAATCTCAGCGTATTGTGGTGGTAAGCTGGCATCTCGGGCAGCCGCGTGTTGTTGACAGAGGGTGTCTGAGCCAACAGGTCTTGCCGAGCAACCTCGGATCAAAAACTTGCTGACTTGGTCGCAAGGAACCACCTGGGCGAAACAATGGCAGAAAGGGCTGAAAAGAAAAGCAGAACCTGTTAGTACGGACAGAAAATGCCACCCGCAGCTGCGCCTCTGGCAAATGGCTGCCCACAGGTTCGACGGTGCAGTTTTGCATTGCCATCAATGGCAACAATATACACCGACGATCCGAAGATGCAAGCCACTGGCTGTCTCTGCGACGGAGCATCAGCGGCGCATACCGGGACCAGCACTTTCGAATGAGAAGCTCCACAGGAAGTACAAGGATGTCTCGGGCTAGCCGCTGCCGCTGCTCTTCGTCCAACTCAGTGCTTCTTCGCCACAAGAGTTCTCGGACCCAGGCGTCTGAGAGCAAGGACCTGCCCCGTAACACCGAAGGGCCGGCTGAAGGAACATCACAAAGACAGGCTAGACACAAGGAATGTTTGCTTGCAGGCAACAAGTTGCTAAGTCTAACTAAGCAGCCCCAAAGAGTGGTTTGTGACGCATCCCGTTCTGAATAAGCTTTTTCTGCTTTGATAAGACTTTCGGGAAAGAATGAACAAGACAGCCCGACAATAACGACCAAGCTGCAGCCAAGACACCCGCGAAGAGCAAAGTTAGCGCTGCCCACCACTAGCTTGAAGAACAAAGCCTCAGATTGGAAAGAAGACTGTTGCAAATAAAGCCGGTACCGCCATTTCCGAAGCCAGTTCAAAGGTATCCCAAAGAAGCGGTTGCACATCCAAAGCTCTGGGTGCTGGAAGTCGACGTCTAACAGTCGCACCGTTTTGACCCGAGCTTGCTTTTTGTGGGCACCTTTTTGCCGTGTCTGGACATAGCCGCACCAAAACTTCGGCCAGACGCAGCGGCAACAGTACTTGGGAATGTGGTTGGCTTGCACCACTCCAGACTCCAGAAGACCTCTGCATGTTTCTGTTCTGGCCAAACGCCTTTGTGGACGAAGCGTCAACGTGGCACTAAGGTGGCCCCACGGGCTTGCAGGTCTGTTGCCAGTTGGTCCACCCATGTGGCACTGCCTCCTGATAGCTGGTCGCTGACCCGCAGGCATGCTTCACGCACTGCATCATAAGCTAGCAGCTAGCATGGCTGCACAGTGCTGGCGTTTTCTAGAGATAGCAGAGCAATTGAAAAAGGCAAAGGTGGCTGTTGGGAAACTTTGTTCACAGTTGACGCTGGAGTTTGCTCAATCTGGTGCTTTGCGGGTGAAGATGTTGAGCTGGAAAGCTGATCGTTGGATACGTTCAGCAAGTACAAGAAACAATGCGCAGTCGCTGTAAACAGGTCAAAAGACATGAGAGTAAAAATCATACCAGTGTCACACCACGATCTAAGGCCGGAACTGCTGTTGAGCATGCTGCTGCAGAAGAGCCGCGCTGTATCCTGAGGCAGAATGGACAGAGCAAAAGGCCAGAGAAATTGTGGCAAGTTCGGAATGATCTCGAAGACATGTACATATGTAAACATGTAAGTACGAAAACATGTAAATATAAATATACGTACATATAATCATATATATGTAAATTTATTGATTGACTTTGTCTGTATACACAGAAGGACAGATACAGTCAAAAAAAATATTGGTTTTGTCTAGGTCTGCTCTGCAATGATATTCTTCTTTGTGTGGAAATTTCAAGATACAACCGAATTTTCTTGATTTGTTTTTCTTTTTGCATTGCAGTGATATGTGTTTGGTGTCTGTTGGAAGAGGCAGAGGTGGCTGTTGGGAAACCTTGTTCACGGTCGATGCTTGCGTTTGCTCAATCTGGTGCTTTGCGGGTGAAGATGTTGAGCTGGAAAGCTGATCTTTGGATATACCAGGTACAAGAAACAATGCGCAGTCGCTCTTATTTACATTTATAATCATAGATATATAATTATATGTGTCTACTTATTTATTTGTGAGTTTGGACTCATTGTTATGGAATGGCGCGCTTTCAATTGAATTGGAAGATTTCCATATGCATTCATTTGTGTATGGATGGGTCTACTTCTGATGCGATTTTGATAACAATTATCTTTTTAGATTTTGGTATATGTATTCATGCAAAGGCTTGCTCATGTAGGATACATCTGTAGTACAGTGCATTGAAGGAGCAGAGTGCAGAACACCAGAGATTTTTATTTTTAACGCAACCTTTTCTTAAAAAAAAACATATTGTTCCTTTGGAAAAAGTGTACGTCTGTCAATGTCATTTCTAATTCATCGCCCGTCAGAAAAAATGTCAAAATCAAAACGCAATTGGCAACCTCCGAATAGTAACAAGTAATTCGCCGCAGCGCGTTTTTTGTGCGCTATGATGCCGGTCTACAAGAGCCGGATGCATTCGTTCCCTTGGATTACGGTATTCGTTTCACTGTTGAAAGCAAAATTCCAAACCCAATTTTGGCATATACATGTCCGCCGCCCAAAAATGGCCCCGTGTCGCAGCGAAGTGCCAGCACGAAACCAAAGGAGCCACGCAAGTGAAAGTTTTGCAAGTCAACCTAGGAAACAATACAAACATTGTCCTTCGCAAGCCCATTTTTACCGGCCTACAAAGCAAAGCAAAAATTAAGCAAGTTGCGGCAAAAAGCCACAAGCTGGATGGCAGCGTATGGCGGAAAATATCTCTAAGCCACGGTTTCTTGACTTAGATGTGTTCGGCGCACAGCAAAAGACATTATTTCCTTATTTACTTATAAGGAAACCGGCAGTTTCTCTTCTTGCACAAAACTTGGGTTGGAGTTTCCCGCCCAAAACGCATCTCACTTCAAACTTCCGAAAATATAAACTCATTCGCCAAATCGTGTCTCTCAAAAATTAAAACATCGCCATCGCAAAAAATTGCTCTCCGAAATAATGCACAACGACGTCATGTGAACATGTCAGAAATGTGAAGCTCAATCGACGCACACCTTTTTTGACAGCAAGTTGGGACAAATTCCGGATCCCGTTTTCGAAAAACGGCTTAGGGGTAGGCCATGCTATAGTAAAATGTAAACGCAGTCCTCACAATGTGTCCACTGCGTAAACATTGTCCAACACAAGGGGGGGAAAAACGAAGTTTTGGGTGGGTACAACTCGCACCTAAAAGTGCAATAGGCTCCCTCCTCACCCTCCCTTTCTTGAGGCGAGCACGGTCGAAAAAGGATTCACATGTTTTCTAAATATACATGTGACATCGGAAGATTCATTTGTTTCACAAACAACTTCAAATAAATCACAACCAAATTTGTGTATTAAAACTCTTATCAGGTCACAGATCAAATTTCTTCCAGGATCCAAGAAACTTGAAAAAATAACTGACAGAGTTCGAGATACTGATTTGTGTTAAGAGTTTTCCAAGAAGTTTTGAAGTGAAGAAGTCAACATTCCCAGATAGGGAAAAAGGGGGAAACTGCCTAATTTTGTCCAAGACAAAATTTTTCCTTTTGTGCAAATAAAGGGAGCATCATTGCTTTGCAATGAGCGAACCCTTATTTACTTATAAGGAAACCGGCAGTTTCTCTTCTTGCACAAAACTTGGGTTGGAGTTTCCCGCCGAAAACGCATCTCACTTCAAACTTCCGAAAATAAAAACTCATTCGCCAAATCGTGTCTCTCAAAAATTAAAACATCGCCATCGCAAAAAATTGCTCTCCGAAATAATGCACAACGACGTCATGTGAACATGTCAGAAATGTGAAGCTCAATCGACGCACACCTTTTTTGACAGCAAGTTGGGACAAATTCCGGATCCCGTTTTCGAAAAACGGCTTAGGGGTAGGCCATGCTATAGTAAAATGTAAACGCAGTCCTCACAATGTGTCCACTGCGTAAACATTGTCCAACACAAGGGGGGGGGAAAAACGAAGTTTTGGGTGGGTACAACTCGCACCTAAAAGTGCAATAGGCTCCCTCCTCACCCTCCCTTTCTTGAGGCGAGCACGGTCGAAAAAGGATTCACATGTTTTCTAAATATACATGTGACATCGGAAGATTCATTTGTTTCACAAACAACTTCAAATAAATCACACAACCAAATTTGTGCATTAAAACTCTTATCAGGTCACAGATCAAATTTCTTCCAGGATCCAAGAAACTTGAAAAAATAACTGACAGAGTTCGAGATACTGATTTGTGTTAAGAGTTTTCCAAGAAGTTTTGAAGTGAAGAAGTCAACATTCCCAGATAGGGAAAAAGGGGGAAACTGCCTAATTTTGTCCAAGACAAAATTTTTCCTTTTGTGCAAATAAAGGGAGCATCATTGCTTTGCAATGAGCGAACCCTTATTTACTTATAAGGAAACCGGCAGTTTCTCTTCTTGCACAAAACTTGGGTTGGAGTTTCCCGCCGAAAACGCATCTCACTTCAAACTTCCGAAAATAAAAACTCATTCGCCAAATCGTGTCTCTCAAAAATTAAAACATCGCCATCGCAAAAAATTGCTCTCCGAAATAATGCAAAACGACGTCATGTGAACATGTCAGAAATGTGAAGCTCAATCGACGCACACCTTTTTTGACAGCAAGTTGGGACAAATTCCGGATCCCGTTTTCGAAACCCCTAAGTCTCTGATCCGTCGGTGTCCAACTTTTTCCAAAGGTGTTCCCAGTTGATTCTATGTCTTCTCACATTCACAAGCTCATCAAAGGACATGCGGCTAGGGCCATCAGCTAGGTTGCTGCTAGTCGGCACTCTAGAGAACCATACCTTAACCTGACACTGCATCTCAGCCACAACGAAAGCATGGACCAGCTTCGCTCCCGATCCACCTTCCGTCGCCCCTCTGACTAGGGCTCCCTTCGCCGCCTCGTTGTCCAAGTAAAAGACACACTGAGTGTTGCTAAGGTATCCTTCCCACTCAACAAGCGAGATCCATACCGGCAGCAACTCAAGCTCAAAGATGGGGTGTTGAGACAAAGATAGAAACGCTTCCATCCATTCTTTTGGAACGATTTCTGCAAAGAATTCACAAGCTATCCCACAAGGACTGATCAAGACAGCTCCAATGGAACCTTCTTTCGAAGTCTCCCCTTCACACGCACCATCTGAGAAAACATACCAAGTGTCCAAACTAGTAGTCCTAATCTTTGTAGGAGGTGCCATTATCACACGTTCCTTCAAGATTCTGATCGCTGCAAGTTCCTGGTCAGAGAGTTTTTCTGATTGCCTTCCTGTGGCTGTCAACTTACTAAGGGCCAATAACGCTTGCTGCGCCACCCGGCCACTGGCGAAGCTTTCGAACCACTGCAGCCTGCCACGTAATCGCTCTGCTTCTTTCTTTGACATCGCTTTTCTCTCAAGTATGGCACCTAAAGTAACCTGAAGCTCTTCGACCCTGCTAGCTGTATGGCCAATCGTCACAAAACGTCCAGCCGCATCATCTGCTGAGCCCTCCGGAGATAAATCTATGACCACCCCCAAAGCTTTGACCTTCGTGTCCCAAGGCACTGCGTTCTTCCCTTCTTTAGCATAGTCAATGCCCAATAAAGAAAACAAGCCTTCAGCAGCTATTGCGGCACTCTCCGCACAAACCTTCTTTGAGAGAAGTGTAAAATCGTCAAAAAAGCTAGTCCAGCATAGACGTAGTCCAACTACCCCAATAAACCAGGTAGCCATTGCTATCCGTAGGAATGATCCCACTGAGCCAATGGCTCCAAATGGTAGCGCATTGAGGCCCAGAAAACGCACTCGTGAAGAAACTGGATCCCATACGGCGATTCTGAGTAAGGACCTGTCATTTGCTGCAATCCCATATTGCTTGTATGCATTCTTGAGATCATACGTTTTTCCCAAAACTGATTCCATAGAGTTGTCACCCAGGTTTGTCAAGCACCACGCAATGTAAGCCGCCATCTCATCAATGGCGTGGATCTTGAGTTTCTCGTTGGCGCCACAAGTGCTGTTAAAGCCACCAATAGAGCAGTCATCTATTAGTCTCGTCTTTTCCCCTTGTCGAAGGCCAAAACGTTTTGCCAACAAATGATTTTCAACTTTGCAATTGTCATCAATCCAAACCCAGCCCTTGTCCAATTCCTCCTGCG